CATAAAGAAGGATAAATTTGAGTCATTTTTAGGGAAATAAATGTACCTTGAGAACATAATGGTAAGTGAGATAAATCAGACACACAAGTTTAAACATCACATTGGTTCTCTTGGGTGAGAAACCCAAAGGGTAAATAAGGAGCATGATGGAAGATAGATATCAGGAAGTAGGAAGAACATGTTCAAAGAGGAATGAAAAGGGAAGGAGGGGGGAGGGAAAGAAGGGAAAAGGGGAAAAAAAAGAAAATGGAAGGAAAATGTTAGGCCACAAACATGTAAATAATCTTGGCTAATCGGATGAAACTGGAAAATGGAGCAGCTATACAAAGCAATGAAACATGAACAAAAGCTATGATTCCTGACTCTCCCACACGTAGTTTGGGTTTTCCAGGGGAAAGAGGTTCTCTTTCTAAAAGCAGCTTTTGATGTAGATATTTTTCTCCTTTTTTGTTATAAAAAGATTTTGCAGAATTTGCACGCAACGATGGTGAATGCTTAGTAGTAAAATGTCTCATTTTTGTGGATGGAGAAAATTCTGGTGTTTTAATGTCTCTAGGGACCCTTTTCAGAATATCCCAGTTTGTGATGACTCAGTTCAGAACAATTCTACCTGGATCTTTTCTTTTGAACCTTACAACTGTAGAGTTTGAAAGAGCTAAAAAGCAATAAAAATATGTAATACACCAGGGTCTGGAGGTGCTGAGGCCCCAGGATCTAGTGTTGGGCCTGAATGCATAGGTCTAAATTGCAATGGGGCTGGGATTTGAAGAAAGATAGGGGCCCTCGCCCCTAACGCCCTGATGTGCTGTGCTTTCCCCTGGCCCTCGTGTCGGCAGAAGGCAGTGTCCCCTCTGAGACCATGTGACTGAGAAGGCATGGATGCCCCTGTAACCTCACTGCAGTGCTGTTTGCCTAGAGCCCATTCCTACAATCAAATAAGACCATGGACTGCGTGCATTTTATTTTAAAGGGAAAAGTCTCATGATTAATTCACTATCTATGGGCATGTTTGAGCTTGCTGGGACAACTATCTGAAATAAAAAGTAAAAACTATTAAGAAAGTAACAAGACTGAAATTAATTAAAAAATAGTTCCTAGGAAAGACAACTCACAAATTCGGGTATCTAAGTGCTATTGTAAGTAAGGTACTGGGGATATAGCTCAGTGGTAGAGCACTTAGGGTGCACAAGGCTGCACTGAAAACACTCAAAAACCCCAAAAACCTAGGAACAACTTTCTTCATTTTAGACCACTGTGTTTCTTTGTTAGTCCCCAACCCTGCACTGAATTGTTTTATTGACTTCTGCCATTGGGTAGTTTCACTAAGAAAACAGGAACTATTTCTATAAAATTACAAATTTGCTAGTAGATTTCTCAATTTTTGTCCTCAAATCTCAGTGATGGAAGGAAGCTTTGAGATCATTCGCTTTTACTTTTTTAGTCCATATATGTAAAAATTAAGGGTAGAGAGAAATTTACCTGCTCAGTGCACTTGCTGATGGGTTAAGGGTTGTTCCAGGCTAGCCTGGTGCTTTTTTCCCAACACCAGCTCCCAGTTCCACCCCATCACCACCTAAGCCTCCCCTAGTCCATATTTCCAACCACAACTGACAATGAGATGGTAGTTTCCAGTTTTGTATGCTGAATTAAAATGGAGTGATATCTTTTGTGTATACATTTGATATCCAAGCAATATTAGTCAGCCTTCCTGTCACTGAGACACAATGATTGATACCCACGAATTCAAGGAGGAAAAGTTTGCTCATGGTTTCAATCCCTGATATGCTGACTAAACAGAGACAACATGGCAAGAAGGAATGGCAGAGAAAAGTGCTTAGCTCCTGGCTGCTGGGAAGCAAAGCAGGGAAGAATGCCAGAGATGAATGGGCGGAAGGCATATGTAGCCTCCATGGCTACCCGGCAGTGTGCTTTACTTATGTGCTAGATGCTTCTTCATCCAGTGAAGTTAAACGTCAAGATTAGAGATCATACAAGCAATCAAACTGTGCAGGCCTTCTGGAGGCTGTATTTAGTGAGATATATAGCAGTTGAGGTTATTAATGTTGTCATACAGATGTGTGTGATGCTCCCTTTTCTGCCCACCCTTACTTCCCACACAGATGTCTTTTGCCACTTTTCTCCCGCTCTATTACATAACTCTTGCTGAGTTTTCTCTTAGCTAGTCACCTTTGACTACTGACACAGATCCAAGCCTTGTAAGTACCATGGGGCAAACGAGGGTGAGATAGAAAATCTCCTCCACTGTTGGTTCCATTCATTAATTTCAGTCCCATGCTTTGACCTCGTGCCCAAGTTTATCAAAGGTCAGGAGGGGTTTTCTGCCCAGTCGTTGGCCAAACATCCTACACTGGCATCAGTAGCAGCGTCAGACCAGCAGGGGGTGCAGTGAGTTTGAGCACCAAAGCTGTGTGTACTTTTTGAATTTTCTAAATAGCTGAATGAGACATATTATTGCATAAATATGTTTAAAATATGCACGGAAGTAGGCAGATTTATTTTAAATTAATTAGTCTGTTTGTAATTATACACATAAAACACAAATTCATTGTCATTTGTAGGAAATTCATACAATACAGAAAAAATGAAAGTTTCTCCATCCCTAATTCTTTCTCTAGAGAAACTGTTTTCTCTTTTCACACATTTTTCTGTGCACTAGCAACATTAATGCATCCAGAAATATAAAACGTTTTCATAAATAGGATCATACTTCATTTTACAACTTACTTTTTCACTTAATACATTTTAGACATCTTTGTGTTTATGTATCTATACATATTTATATTATCTCTCTCAAAAATATCGCTGCCTAAGAGTCCAGTGAATGGATGTTTCATGGTTTATTTGATGGTTTTTCTGTTGAGACTTTCAGTTGCTTTTAGTTGCCAACTATTACAAACAGTGGACTCCTTGTAATATGCATTTCTCTGGTTCAGATACTTAGGTATGAAGATATGTGCATTATTAGTTGTTAAGAAAGATTTTTGAGAGTGAAAATGGAGGACCCGTGACCGGAAGCTCTCACAGTTGGAAATAATGAGCGTACTGTGGCCTGGCTGTCTGCTGTACCACAGGGAGATGCTGGTGACGTGGACGCACTGCTGTGTCCCTTCACCTCACAGCTGCATTCAGCATAGTAGCTCATTTGACTCCAAGTCATAACCACCAGGACACTGACAATCCAGTGTCTGCTGCGAGGGAGAGATCTTTATTTGTTACCCAGTGGGATGGTGTGAGACCGCAGGCAGCCAGTGACAGGAAGAAAGGCTCAGAGAGAGAGGCTTGGGGATTCTGATTGGCAGACCTTGGCGCAGCTGGCCAGGGGGGCGGGAGGACCCGCCGGAGTGGTGTGATTCCCCATGGGTGATGCGTTCTCTATTTTTTGCAGTTGGCCGCCCAATCCCTGATCACCAGACCCTGCACCCAACCCAGGAGCAGACTGAGGAGCTGCACCAGATCTACATGCAGGAGCTGAGGATATTATTTGAGGAGCACAAAGGGAAGTATGGCATTGTGGAGCATGGCACTCTCATTTTTAGATGACTTTAGTCTCCCAGGGCATTAAAGAGAAGAAGAAAGAATCCCTTTGAGAGAATAAATCCTCTAAAAGCCAATTATTTTTTTCCTTTGGATTCTGAATCAAATTTGTGACTGAAAAGTATTATTTACGGTTGCAGATGTTGATTTTTACCTCTAGTAAATAAAAACGCAGTAGATGACTACTGCAAAAGATTGGAGATGACTATAAGGCTTTTAATAATTTTCCTCATTTTATAGGTTATGGAGGGGTACAGAATTATTCATGTGTTCCCCCTCCAAATAGAAAATGGACAGCTTCAAAAAGCCCATTTTGCTAAACATCACCATAATGTGACATGTTGTTTTCACTAAGTGGGACAGCTGTTGTGCAGCACAGCTGGAACATGTAGGAGACAGTGTATAAAATAATTTGCTTTACTGAGAGCTAGAAGAGGTTTTTTTTCTTAATGAATAATGTCATGTTTAATACTTAGATAATTTGATCCTTTATGTGTTATGTCAACAATTTTATGCAGCAGCACAGCATTTTTATGCCAGTTTGGAAACAGGATGGATTTGTCACATGGAAACCTGTGTGGGTAAGAGCCCACCTCATTTCTGCCCCTGCTCAGCAGCGTGTGCATTTGCTACAGACTTGCAGGTCTGTTGATGAAACATGATTTCGCACATGTTTAGGATACTGAAAATTCCCAAAACTTCTTACGATAGCAGATTTACTTTTACTTTTCTTCCCAAATGGTCTTTTCACTGTACACCAAGCTCTGAAAGAAAGCACCCTTCCTGGTGAGAGGTGTCCACTTCACAGCAATCTGAGGTTGAGTCTTCTCCGAACCAGAGCAGGGAGTTTGTCTTTCCTGCTTCCTGGTGTCTCCTGAATGCCTGGTTACGGCACCAAGTTGGCACAGAATAAGCACTTCTTTAATGAGTGTATTAGTAGTTCAACACTTTGCCATGGTATGAAGATTTTTAAAGCTATTCCATAGAATGAAGCATGTATTAAGACCCACTGTTATGTTTAGCCCTAAAATGGCCCCAAGAGTCTCATGTGCTTGGAAGGTGATTAGATAACAGGGGCGCTATACACAAGTCCAGTAGCCATGCTGGTAGGAGGCCTGGTTAGAGGTAGTCACTAGGAGAGTGACCTTGAAGGGTATATTCTTGTCCCTGGTCCCTGTCATCCCTTTCTTTGCTTCCTGGCTGTTGTGGCATGGAGACCCTAAGATCTAGAGATTATTCTATTCTCTGCCAGATGTACTGAAAAATAACATGTCATATATGCCATGCCCCTCTGTCTTCCTGTTTCTGCCATAAAGTCAGCTTACCATGAAGTTAAACTATAAGTCAAAATAAACCTCACCTCTTTTAAGGTGTGGGTGCTTCTTGTCCCAGTGACAAGAAGTGAAAAAGCTGCGCATTTTCAGAAGGAGAAATTTTCTCTGTCTGATTGCCCTGCATCACTAATTGGTTGTACTGTAAGTTGTTTCATCAATAGCAAGTCAGAAGGAGGTTTTTGATCATTAGTCACTAAGCATTAAGTAACTAGTTCCTAAGTAAGAAGAATATCTTGGTTCCAAACGATGCTCATTACCAGCTGTTTGCATCTGTACTTGTTCCATGCTAGGTGTCTATGATCAGTATAACTGATTTACTTCTGATTTGTTGGTAAAAGGTCCTTCAGCTTCTAAGTGTTGAAACACTAAGCCTTGGGCTAGAGCCTGGATTGGGTTCAGCAACAGCAAAATGAAATTCTACTGGCTGAAGTCTTAAGAAGGAAAGCATCTCACACACTAGAAAGTAAGCCTTCAGACACTAGAAAGTGTCTGAAGTCCTTCAAATTCAACTAAGTGATCCAAGATCCATTGACCCATGACCTTAAAATCAATTCAGTTTTTTTTTGTCCAAGCAGGTCTTTTGAGTTATTACAAATCCATGAGTTGAAGCCCATTGAAGAAGTATATTAAAAGCTGATGGCACATGATCTTTTGTGATTTCAGAGATGTATGAATTTTAATTTCTCTATCAGGACCTGGACCACCCATCAGCAGCTGGATTTAAAACTCACACTTAGTAAAGCAGAGGCAATAAAAAATTGGAAAAATTCTCTCATGAATTTGTTTAGATTTTGCCATTAAAAAAATCTGAACATAGCAACTTAATTTTGGCATATGTAACATGTTATTTTTCAGTATACATGGCAGTGAATGGAGTTACCTCTTCACTTCTGAAGATCTCCAGAGTACTTAATCCAGCCATCCCCGAAGTCTTTCATATATTCAAAGCATAACCGGAAGTTCCATATCATCCTATAGGTTGTAAATGAATCTCCTCATATGAACTTTTGCTGTCACACAAATGCGGGTTCTATATTACATTCACTAGTGTGGTCTGACAAAAATCTCTTCTACTTTAAAGGTTCTTGTGTATTGTGCAATTGCACATGATTTTATTTATTTATTTTTTGGTACCAGGGATCAAACTCGGGACCTTGCGCTTGTGAGGCAGATGCCAGAACCACTGAGCTAAATCCCCGGCCCCAAACAAATTTTTTTTGTGTTTTTTTTTTTTTTTTTGGTACTGGGGATCGAACTCAGGTCCTTGCGCTTGCGCAGCAGGAGGCAAAATCACTGAGCTAAATCCCCGGCCCTGCACATGATTTTAAAGCAAAACAAATACTACAACAAAAATAACCCAGAACACCATGAAAGACATTGGGCCTGTTGCCTTGGAAAAATGTGCCTAGATGCTTTTCTATTTGGACATTTCTTTCCCCTCTGTTTTCCTTGTCTGCAGGGTGCAAGCTGAATCATTTCCTTATCCTGCAGCTAAAAGTTTCTGATAGGACAGTGTCAACAGCCAGCTCCAACTGTTGTGCTTACACTGAATGTTGCAGTTTAGAGGCTCCCAAAGGATTGAATCCAGGGCCCTGAGTTACATCCCCAGACCATTTATTTACTTATTATTTTGAGAGAGGATCTCACTAAGTTGCCTAGGCTGGGCTTGAACTTGTAATCCTCCTCCATCAGCTTCCTGAGTGTCAGGAATTATAGCTGTGCACCATTGCGCCTTACAGTGCTAGATGGGCTCCTGCCAAGAAAACAATCAAAGTGTGTGCACATCAGGTGTTCTGGGGGAATATTTACCACATGTACAAGGTTAAAAGTAAAATCCTTATTTTCAGTAGAAGGTATTCCTGTTGTGGGAAGCATGGAATCTGGTTGTAGTATCCGTACTTCCGGAACTTTACCTCTCATCAAAACTACCTCACCAATGCAGACTATCAAAGAGTGGGATGAATATGAAAACGGTTTTGGGTACATTTGCTGTGTATTTCTTTCCTTTAACAAGAGACACTATTGTTGGGATTTGTTTACTCTTTTTTTTTCCCAAGTACACCAAGATAGCTAGTTGTCATATTTGCATTTCTTAACCTAAGTGACATAATAGCTATTTGTTGGGCTGGAAGAGTTACTTCAAGTAGAATTTGTATATATTTCCAAGGGAGAAAGGCCAACTTATAAAACACACAAGCACTTGCTCTAGTTTCTTAATGATGATAAACACAGAAGCAATTTTCTATATTTAAAACAAAAAGATTTCTCTGATTGAAACTTTATGTTTCAACAATTGCAGCTAACCCTCCCCAAACACCTAGAGTTTAGTACATTCAATCCTTATGTGAAAAGAAGAGAGGTTACCTCCATCCATAGCTAACCCATGAGATGATGAATTTCTCAGTAGCTGAATCTGCTACTGAGTCTCATTTGCATTTTGACCACAACAGAGCAGGACTTCAGCGGTCTCTTAGTGAATGCTAGTGGCACTAACCTGAATTTGGGGTGGGTTGTGCCAAAAAGCAAGTTTTAGAGCAAAAAGAGCCATCATAGTTTAATTGTTCCCTCTGCAGATGAAGCAGTGGAATCCCTGTGAGGTTCACGCAGATCACCCGGACTGGGTCCATATTCCTGTGTCCCAGATTAAACAGGAGGTACCGTTATTCCATGGTCACTGGTTGATAAACCTAAGAATCTTCTGTAAAACAAAAGTATCAAAAGGTAGACTACAGTTAAAAATATACACTTTAAGCAAAGAATTGCACAACTCTGAAGCAAGCTCTGTCTTATTGGTATTAAGAATATTTTTCTTTTTTGAGACACTATACCATGTTATAGATTTTTTGCAAGATTTCTCTTGGTGGTATATCCTGGGCAAAGTCCAAGATTTCAAAGTCCACTAGAGCCTTAGGCATTGGAGTTCTGCCCCAATGACCGAAGGACCCAGAAAAGGATCTTCCTTGGTTTCATCCTAATCATGAGTAAGGGCCATGGCTGCGCTGTTACTCAGACGGGGAAGTAGATCTTGTCACCATATTGACAGCCCCAGGATCACAGTCTGTTATGCTCCAGCCTTATGCAGCTGGCTTGTCACAGCTGCGTTTTTAAAAAATAATTCTTATATACTGATTGGGAATTATCTTAGGCTTCTTTAAGAATACAGGTGAACCTGACATTCCTTGTATTCTCAAGGGCTGTGTAGTTCTGTGTAGTTCTCTCCTGTTCTGTTTCCAGACCAATTTGGGGTTTATCACTTTCTGGTTGGATTCCAAATCCTGCTATATGCATGTCCAGTGATGTGGGGATACCAAGAATCCCTAATTCGCTCACCCTTTTCTGTATTCCAAGATTTCATTTCAGATAGTCCTTTAACTTCTGGGCTTAGGCTACGTGGCTGGGTGGCCTGGGCTCAGATCCTCCCAATGTAAACCGAGTTAGGAGTGAATCTCAGTGTCCCATTGGCTCTGTCTGTGTAGCCTCTGCTTGACATTTTTCACTCTTGCTAAAAACATCTAAAATAATAAATAAACCTCTAAATTAATAAATAAATCTCTCCTACTTAAGTTGTGGGTGGTGGGTACAATGTCTTGCCAATGGGAATATAAGACAGATTTTGGTACCATGATTAGGTTTGTTCCATGACTATACTTGATCATGCAATTCAGAAGCCTTTGGAACTAGATTGCTGGAGGAATTTGGAAAGGTTTTGTGATGCCAGCTAGAGAAACCATAGAGTACTGTTAGCTGAAATTGATAGGAGATTCTGGGGGATTTAGCTCAGTGGTTCTGCCACCTGCCTCGCAAGCGCAAGGTCCCAAGTTCAATCCCCAGTACCAAAAAAAACCATTATGGGCCAGGGATTTAGCTCAGTGGTTTCATGGCCTGCTGCACAAGCACAAGGACCAGAGTTCGATCCCCAATACCAAAAAAAAAAAAAAAAAAAATTATTTGTCTGATGAATTTTGTAGAAAAAGTAAA